CACAGTGCTAGGATTACAGGTGTGAGCCACCGCGCCCGGCCTATGGTTGCAATTTTTTACTAAATTAAACTAGAACTATTAAATCTACCTGGTTTTTACAAATAATTAACTTCAATATATACATAAATATGCATACATATTACTATTTTCAGTAAAGTTATAAATCCATATGCATCTGGATAACATTCAAAAGCAATGAATAAAATTTATCCTTGTTTTTGTTATACATATGTGTGTGTGTACATACGTAATTCTACCACTAAGAAATATAATTTTATTTTTTTCTGTGTAAGAATTGTGCCGTGGGCCCAGATACTTCTGTAATATTTCTTATGGCATGCATGTATTCATGTTCCATCCATTGCTGAATAATAGCAATGGCTTTAAAAAATAGAAAAATAAAAACAGATGAAGGTGATCTCACATCAGTAATAAACTATTTCCTTTCACCACCCAAATGTCCCCATATATTCAGAAACTTGAGATGCTCCTCGCCTATAGAATAAAGACTAAGAAAAATAATTTGGAAATGGACTTATAGCAGAGAAGGAGGAAGGAAGTCTAGGAATTTGTATAACTAAACAAAAAGAACAGATTCCCTCAACACTAGCCACAAAGGAAGTATGCCTTCATATCCAATTAGTGATTTCAGAGTTCTTCCCAGAATCAAGGAGCAAGAAAGATGTTATTAAAAATTTTCTATGTTCTTTTCTCTCACACACATTTTTTAGGTATAAAATTATATTGGTCAGATATAGTTATACTGCACTAGATTTAAAATTGTTGAAAAAAGTTTTTTATAGAAATATATACTTTTCCTATGCAAATAAAAACTCACATCCAAACTCTTAACCAGCTTCCTAAGGTGAATATGGAATATTTCTGGCTTAGATGTCTGGCTTAGATATAGCCCATAACATCATTTTCCTGAGTCTATGGTATGAGGGCCAAAAGTTGTTCTCTTTAAGTCTGTGAATAAGCAACATAGTCTGTGTAAAAACACACTAAGAGACACCAACTTGTTCTCCATGAAAGTAGAGACTTAATGGAAATATACTTAAAGAATACAAGATGAGGAATATACACTATCAAATCCAAATTTTCCTCCAGAAAAAAAGGAAACAATTTTTAATTGACAGAATAAGAACATGCAAACTTCTAAAATGTAGGCATATATTTAGGCTATTTTTATATTATTATATCAATGCTTGCCTTGTTGAAAGATTTGAAAACATGCAAACACATTTTTTTTTTTTTTTTGAGACACAGTCTCACACTGTTGACCTGGCTAGAGTGAGTGCCGTGGCGTCAGCCTAGCTCACAGCAACCTCACACTCCTGAGCTCAAGCGATCCTCCTGCTTCAGCCTCCCGAGTAGCTGGGACTGCAGGCACGCGCCACCATACCCGGCTAATTTTTCCTATATATATTTTTAGTTGTCCAGATAATTTATTTCTATTTTTTTAGTAGAGACGGGGTCTCGCTCTTGCTCAGGCTGGTCTCGAACAACAAACACATTTTAAACTATACTTGTAACCAAAGGAAATTTTTACCTAACACCATTTTGAAAAATATTAATGACATCATCGTCTTCCTATTTTCCCTACAGCCCATAGTATAAGAATATTTGTATAATAAGATTTTCAAAGGTAGCTTGAAATAGAATTGTGTTAAATAGACTGAGAGAGAGTGTGTAACTTCATATTTCATATTTCTGGGCTTTAATTCAAAATATAATGTTGCTCATAGTGCTTCTGAATCTGAGTAGCTGGGTTTTATCTAAACCTATTTACTGTCGAGTATATTATGATGACCTCTCTTAATTCCTCTTTCTAGTTCCTTATCCAACTCTTTTCTTGGGTGCGTCATTCCTATGAGACAGTCTCTCCTTGTTTTTTTTCCTCTTGTTTCTCTGATTTAATTAGGTACAATAAAAACGTGAAGACATAGATACGCTATGTTTGGTATGTTTACTAAACAAAATGTCATGTTTTATAATGAAAAGATATGTAGTATGTGAACAGAATTGTAAACTCTCTTAAAAGTTATATTTTCATTTCTGTATCTCTTATTTGCTTTGATCTCTACATCAGGGGCTTAGGGGTAAAAAAGAACTCAATCAACCCAATCACTGTTTCCATGGTTTGTCTTCTCATATTCTATCCTGTTCTGTGAGTTCTGTGGGAGGATTTCTGCTCCCTCTATCGGGCTGTGACAGTGATATACATGTGGCCATGCCTCAGGACATCTAAATAATTAGTAAATTACATAGAAGAATTTTAAGACAAAAAATCCCGAACATAGGCTTTCATTAGGGAGAGAAGTGTAAAGAATGCATTATGAGATCTATATTTCATAAGCTTGAGATTTCAGGGTCGCTTATTGTAACTCCCTCATTGGGGACAATTTGGAAAATCTTAAAGAGCAGTTTGTCCCTTAATCTCTGAAAGCAAAGCAAAGGAAAAAACAAGTGGGAGGATGAGAAAAATAGGAGGAGAAAGAGGGGGAAGAGAAAGATAATAGTGAAGAGGAGATTGTTCACTATTATTTTTTTTTTATTTATGCTTTCAGCCCAGGAAGAATAAATGTGAATTGATTTGACAATCATAAATTTGGCTCAATATTATTAATATGATTGATCTATAATTTGATGTAAACATGCAGCATAGTTTATTATATGAGTACACTCCAGTGACTTTTTCCAGAGGGAAAAAAAGCATTAGTTATTGTTTGAAAT